CAGCCATAACAGCCCGTTTAATGGGGTAAACAAGGCAGACTTCGACACATGCTAGGACTCCATACACAGGGGCTTAATAGCGGGCAGTTAACCACGTAGCTGATGCACAGGGCCATCAGGCGTGCAATAGCACTTATCATAAACTAACAAATGCAGGCAAGCAATTCGAAAACAGGGGTATTAATAGGTAATTATTAGCTGTTATATATTCCTCGGTTATAAGGTAATAGGCTTATCTGCCTACTATGTTAGCATTAAGTTATCATTAGGCATACTAGCCTGCTCCGCGGAGATTACTAAGTCCTAATTAGATAATCTATATTATAGATTCGCCCTTAAAGAAGAAAACCTCCTGCTATATTATAGGTATTAGCTATAACCAAGCTTTCTCTCTTACCTTATAATAAATACTAATAAGTTACTTTATATATAGTAATAAATAAGGTAAATAAAACCTATAAGATATAGCATTTTTTTTAACTTAGATTACTTAAAAATTATTAAACTATTACTGCCTAGAATTTAAACCTGCAGTAATACTAATATAGCTATATACTTTGCCAGCCGTATTGCATATTGCCTTTATTAAGCTAAGGTAGCTACCTGCAAATTTGCAGGGGTATCCTACCAATTATTATAATTAAAGGAGGCCTAAGCATTAATTATTAACTAAATAACCTTCTTCATATTTTAAGCGATATAATCTGACGTAGCATAGGGTCCAGGGGAGGGTGGTAATTCCGTTGTTACAGCCTGATAGATCTTGGCATTATTAATCAGACCATTGCTAAGTGGGACCCTGATCACATCAGCGTGTCCGCGATTACTATGTCTACTGCATTAAGGAGAGCAGTAGTTTTATATTTATTATCTGCTAAGCTTATTATTTATTTATTAGAACCTCCCTCAAATCCTACTTCCGGATAGCAAAACAACAATATTATATCTGAGGGGAGAGAATTATTTCAACCACATTTGCCGGCTGATTTAGCAGCTACGGCAATGGATAGCCTTTTGATCCCAACATTACACTAATACTCCAGCCAGAGCCACTATACCTCCAAGTGTAACAAGCCTAGATCCGCCAGTAGGCATAGCCGCTCCGTTGTCCGATGAAGTAGATGAAGCAGCAACGGCAGCACCCGACCCGGATTTTGTTTCGGTAGCGGTATTGGATGCCTTATTCGAGCTGTCGCCGCTTAGATCTTTGTCGAGAATACTGGTAGCTTCTGGTAATTCTGAGGCAGTTGATCCGTAGATCTGCCATACACCGCATACATGCCCAATGGCTTCAGCGAAATCTAATATGCTTTTAGCCTGGGTGCTGCCACTAACTCACACGATCTGATACACAATGGTTGCCGGTGAGGATAGAGCGCAGAGTAAAGAAAAATGGCAGATTAACCTACCTACTGAGCACTGAGTGTCCACATATCTGGAAACTGCAACGGCAATTGCGCTGAGATGTCTACAGAGACAATCAAAGCTGCTTGCGTCCACGTTATCGGCTTCGCATTTCTCTGACACCATGGCCTTCTTGAAACTTGAAAACGCACAAGATGGAATGTCCTTGGTGTATCCAGCAATGGTATCCAGAGCAGCGACACCTAGTACGTTAGCCATCATAATGGCTATGATAAGAAAAGGTCGCATTGAATCTGAGCGGTTAGGTTTGTGTGTGAAGGGTTGTCGAATCGTATTTCAAAAGGCTCTTAGGGCAATGCGGGATAGTAAGAGGTTTTGAACTTGCAACACACGGAGTGGCCGCCATCTTTATACATTGGCGCGATGTAAAAAGCTTATCTATATATTTCTGTGATCATAAATTGCATTTCCCTGCTGAAACATGCATATTTCTCATTGCAGTAACCGCGCCAATCTATATTGCGGCTGAGAGGGATTTCACTGCTGTTCGGAAGGACAATGCCGTGACCCTGGCTAGCGTGGAGAGAGGATGAACCCAAGATTGAGCCTGGATGTGATGAGGCTTACAGGTCACTTATCTATGTTCTAACTTGCATACTCGAATATACCATTCCGCAGTACCCTAGCCATTGGATAGTGCCAATGACGGGCGCGGTTGTTACATAGGCAACGCCACTGAACTCTATCGAAGAGTGTTCTGTTTCAGTGTGATGCTATTGAAATTGCGGTGATGGATATGGCTTAACCTTGCACCGAATATTGGGTTGAAGAATGCGCCACTGTCACCTGAGCTCTTCATATGAGCCGGAGATAGGAAATGAAGAACAAAAAGTCTCGTATCACGAGCCTACCTTTAAGGCGGATCTTGGGGTCCCATGTGTAAATGCAGGCTTCTATTGTTGGCGCGATCCAGTCAGTGAAATGGAAGACCTCGTAGATATCGTTCCACACCGGGCGACTGCCAGCAGTGTCTTCCTGCCTAGTCAGCAGTCGGTCTCGGGCAGCAAATTGCCTGCCCGTGACCCCTCGACGGCTCTGCCGCATCATCGGGTGGCTGTCGACTTGGATCTCAATGGTCACATTTTTTGACGGGTGATCTTGTTGTAGGAAAGTACAATTTTGGTTTCCCACGGTCATCCTGTGGTCTTGACTTTGCTTATCACCCTCATCTCCACGCCGATTCTCAGGAAGGCCTAACGTTATAATCTCATCCGCGGGTTCAGAGTTTGTGACGTTACGATTAAGAGACGGCCTACCGCGTTTGCGCGCTGATGATAGATTCGGAGTCATAATAAGTAATTAATATCTCCAAATTAAATTTGCCCATAAAGGCGGATGAGACTCTGTGTGGCGAAAATGAGCTGGTAAGAATCAATACTGTAACGTGGTTGATAAGCGAATGCTCCAGACAAGCGAGTGCTCCACTACCTTATACACCTTAAAATCCGGTTTTTAAAAGCTTCTAAAAAGCTTAA